TCTTCAACTGAGTCAGATTTGCACTTGGCTACCTGAGTTATGTTGAATTCTGACTCTGGTTATGGGTATTTACATGAATAGGCATTTCCTTGCAAGGTACTTGTTATACCTGCCACTCAATTTGGGTCTGATCTTCAGGGAGGTTAATTTTAGGGCTTCTATACAGGAGCGCTCCAGCTTTGTAACTATGACTTGAACTACAGGTTTAAAGCCTCAGCTTGTAGTTATCTTTTTATAGTTTCCTAGTTCTTTGAAAAACAATCTTCTACGTCATAGACCTTTTTGCTAGTATGTGGTCAAAGTCAGCACCATTTGGTTCTCTAAGGAATTCGAGTCCTTTAAGAGTCACTTTATCAGTCGAACACGGCTGATAATTTAATTAATTGTGACAGCTCTCCAATTATTGAATTCCTAGCATTCCATTTCCCATGGTTAAGGAACTCATCACTGCATTCAAAGCCTAAGACATAAAACCAAACCAACCTCAGAGTCTCTGTTACCTGAGACACAATTCTGGTGGCAAGTACTCTATCAGCCATATTCAGTCAGGAAGAATAGATGCCGCAAACAGATGTCGGATGAATGAGTAAGCAAGAGGGAATACTGAGATAACCAAAACAACAAAAACAAAACTCTAGAAGGCAGCTACCACCCCTAATACTGGGAAAGAAGAGGTTTGGATTATCAGACCCTAGGGAGAAAATGAGGGAAGGGACCTTGCAGAGCCTGGTTCTGGGAGTAGTGAAACAGACTGAATAGCATTGCTCATGATGACAGTAAGTAACTAGGAAGAAGGAAGTCCTGTTTTCTGTCCTGACTTTCACTCTCCTTCTAGTTTCCGTTTGTGGCAAACCCTAGGAGAGGGGTAGTTGGCGATGGAGAATGTGGTTTGCAGATCCCAAGCACCAGCCTCACAGGGCAGAATACAGAAGAACAGATTTGGATCTGAGACACTATGGTTTAATAAATAATACACCATGTGAAGAACTGAGAGGAGCAGGCATAGGGAGCAGCCACTACAGAGGCCTCAGGAGAAAGAGGCTTAGCATGTTCAGAGAACAGAAAGGAAACCAGTGGGATAAGAATATAGCAAGGGAGTGAGTCCCTGAGAAGAGGTTGGAAAAATATGCAGAACCCACATCATATGGAACTTTGGGGACTGTGGTAAGGTATTTGGATTTGATTTTGAGCTAATTCAGACATACTTTCTTCCCTCTTACCCATTAATTCCTATTCATCTTAAGGGTCTCTGGTTACATAAAGGGCAACTCAACTTACCCATCATGTCTTATTGGGGGAATTGTAACTACCAGCTTGCTTATCTGTATACAGTGCTATATTGTAGACACTGTGAGGGTAGAGAATTTGTCTGTTTACCAGACGGTATATTTTTAGTACATGGTTTGGTACCTTAGCACCTAGGATCACTCTTTACATATGTTAGTTCAATGAGATAATTAATGACCAAACTATACCTGAGATGTCTTCTCTGATCCACTCCCTCAGTGATTTCATATATTCTATCACACTTTCTGTAACTTGAGGATCTAATTATCTTCCCCTCTAGAGGGGAACTCTGAGGACGAAGGTAACTATCAGTGGTGCTTTTCCAGTACCTGACACTTAGTGCATTCATAAGTGAACAAACGAACGAATAAATGAACGAACCAGCCAAACAGATGACTGGAGCTCAGTGCATGTGCATGGATGTGATCTGCATATTGATGCAAACTGAAGACATGAATGTGTAGCATGAGATGACAATGGTGTGATGGCCAGCACATTGTCAATGAGCCCTACTCCAGGGAGCAAGAGAAAAATATGTCATAGAGAAACAAACAAACAAAAATACTCTTTTTCTTTTATTTTTTACTCCTCTCTTCCTCATGCCTTCCTTCCCTCCCTCCTTTTGTTCCTTCTTTTCTTTCTTTCTTTCTTTTTTTTTTAAATGTCTGTCAGCCATATATGATACCACAGAGAAGACAAGTTAGGTAAGAGCTAGAAATGGCCAGTGGATTTTGTAATCAGAAGGTCATGGTCACTGTAGAAAGAATAACTGGGAATGGCATGATTTGAAGCTAGCTATAGACTGAATATGATTTTCAAAAGAAATTTGGCTACAAAGAGAAGGAGAAAAAAGCCTGATTCTTATAGCTAGGGAAGGATGTAATTTAAGGAAAAAAAGTTTTAGGAGAAAGACTAGACCTGACAGGAAAATTCTGGGAGTATGTTTGAAGAATGACTTCGCCATTGAGACAGGGAGTAAGGGGAAGAGTTGAATACAGGTGCAGAGGGTGAGGGAGTTCTTCCCCAGTGCCCTCTTTCTCTCTGGAAAATGGAAAGGGAAGTGATCTGTGAGAGTAAGCCAGGTAGTGGTTGGGTAGGAGACCTGAATGGAAGAGGAGTGATTATGGACAACTGGAAAGATTGCCCGATAACAACGGTACTATGGTGGTCTCAATCCATGTTGTTGTGAAATTTTCTATAGCTCCAGCCATCTGTTGGATGAAGCTAAAGAGATGGTTGGAATGATTCTGGGCTGGGGCTTTGCTGGACATCTTTGGCAGAAATTCCCAGGACCTGAGAAACTGCAAGATTGCTAGAGGGATAGCTTATGGGGCTGGACTGGAGAAGGAGAGAAATGAATTGAGGAGAAGTATCCTAGAGTGGGAGGAATTAGGAAGTCATGGGACTGTAGGTCTTGAGGTCTAAGAGAAGACAGATGTGTGTGTGTGTGTGTGTGTGTGTGTGTGCACGTGTGTGTGCACATTCACACTGGCATGCACACACACCTAATTATGGACATATATAAATACATAGACACACACACACACACACACACACACACACACACACACACATCCTTTAGTGGGCATGTGTCATAAGGATATCACTAAATATCTTCAGATCCAAACTTCCAATTTGCTTAGTGAGGTGATAGAATGAGACCAAATAATCTCTTTTTAATTTTTCTTTTCTCAGTTCTTATGTTTGATGATGCTACATTTGTTCTGTAGGCTTACAAGGGTTTAAGGAGGGAAAACCAAAGCACTAATTAAATCCTAAGTAAGTCATAGTAAGATGCATTTAATTTACTTCCTATTACCAAGTTGTAAAGGGTATGAAGTTTGGGGTATAAAAAATGTATATATGTAGACTACAGTTATACATAAAGATCTTATTTATCCTTAATAATATATTAAGATGGTTGAAGGTGAATGTGAATGTATTGTTATCTTAGGGATAAAACCCATATAGAATTAAAAAGAAATAAAATCTGGGAGTTCCTAAAAAGCCAGATAAATGTTGAGTAGAGTGGTGAAACACATTAGAGGATAATGGGAACTGTGGGAGGAAGGGACAGTATAAAGATATGAATTTATGTGTAAACAATTGGAGACATTTTTTAGGTTTGGCAAGTGTTGAGAATTACAAATGTATAATATATAGCATTTTATAATATGTAATACAATATATAATATGCAATGGTATATATAATGTGTAACAAAATCATATAAAATAATATGCAATGGTGCATATATAATTTGTCACAAAATCATATGAATGAGTTTGTTCATTTAAAAACTAAAATATCCATGTGATTTTTTTGAAGACAGTGGTCACATCTGTTTGACTCAGTACTTGGCACACAGTACTATGCTTGGTACCTGTTATTTCTCTCTTTTTTTGAGGAAAAGGAAAGTAAATATAAGATAATATTGTTCCCATTTTTATAAAATAGGCAGAGATAGATAGGAATAACAAATTTTAACAACTTGAAATTTTAAGAAATTCTGTGTTGACTATAGAATAGATTATATAATCTTTAAGTGACCAAAGTAATCCTTAAGTGACTCTTTAGTAATAACCATTAATAATATGCCTAATGCCTAATAATGGAATGAAATATTTTGGTGATCTCTGACCATATCATGTAAAATACATTGGTCCTATGTTATTAGACTTTTTTCTCAGGGTCATTCCAGTGCCTGTGGATTATATCTCAAATATATTTCTCCTCCCAGTTATATAGTAAGAAGATATGTATATTCATTCTGATAAAACTAGAATTCTATTCCACTCCTTTCAGCTCTCACTCCTATATAATATCTGCCAGGTCATAATGGAATGAACATTTACTTTTTAAGACTGGCAAGATGGAAGTCTGTAATTGATGTTTTTTTGCTAAGGCCAAAAGAATGGCATTTCATCTTTTATTAAAGTATAACATCGTACATTCTGACTACTGGGGGTACACCTAGCTTCTTGTCAGTTAAAAAAAAGAACATAGGAAAACGACTGAGAGGAACTTGTGTAAAATGCAAATAAATTACAATGGCATGGAATAAAGTCATTACAATTAATAGCATGAATGATCTTCATAACCAGTGATGGAAATGACGTGATACTTTTCTCAGGGGAGAAATGAAACTGCAAAAATATGGGAAGAATTATTTCCAACATGCGTAATAATGTGGTACCACATTTCTCACTCTAGAGAGCAGACTGAACACTAAGTGGAAGACAAAACTAACAAAAATACATATATGAGCAGTTCTACATGCTTACTTCTTGAGGCTGAGAATAAACAGTTTTATAACTTAATGCAGGCTTTTAAACAGTGGGTCAATCTATAGAAATTGTCATTAGCCCTGTAAGCTTAAAATTAAGTCATTAAATCACAATCAGGGGTGTTAGAAGGAGTAATTAGGAATATGTTGTAGAGTTGCACTCTCATAAGAAATTTTTTATGGGAAGGAAAAAATTCTAAGCATTCACTGTGGGGAAGTCTCATAAGACTTTTGAAAATCAAGCATTTCAGCCCACGAGGCTTTTATTTAGCAAGAACGACCAAAAGAGTTTTTCTTTTACCTTAATCTGAAGGCCGAGAATCTTGCCATTTTCATCTATGGCATATCATGTTCAAAGAAAAGAAATAGGAAAGTGGATGAATGTATTTCAGAGAAATGATTGCTAAGTTTTTGTTTGTTTTTCTTAAGGAGTCAATTCCAAGCTTCAGTTTGAAATCATGCCAGGTGCTTCATTTGAATTGTTCCAGATAAATTCTGACAGTGGAGAGGTAGTGACAACCACCATGCTTGACAGAGAAGTTCAAGAAGTCTTCACCCTTCGAGGTAAGGGATTCTTTGACTATGCAAAACAAAACAAAGTAAAACAAAACAAAACAAAACAAAAAAAACAGTTCAGTGGTGAAATGTTACATTTTGGTAGGGTATTTTTAATAAAATATTATTGAGCCAGTGCTACCTGGTTAGTTTAGACTTTGTCTAGTTAGAACAGTATGTTTTAGGTATGAATCAAAGGCCACAATTGATGCCATCTTTGTGTTCTGTGTCAGTACTAGTACGAGATGGCGGAGTCCCTTCACTGTCCAGCACCACAACAATCCTCTGCACTGTTGAAGATGAAAACGATCACACGCCAGAGTTTATTGTTTTCAGTTACAACATTGAGGTTCTGGAAAACCGGGAACCAGAGGTTGTCTATACTGTTTTAGCTTCTGATATGGATGCTGGCAATAACAGAGCTGTTGAATATCACATAATTGGTAAGTTTGTTTGTTTGTTAAGACAGTCTTGCTCTGTCACCCAGGCTGGAGTGCAGTGGCACGAAGGCTCACTGCAACCTCCACCTCCCAGATTCAAGCAATTTTTGTGCCTCAGCCTTCCAAATATGTAAGTATTTTTAAATTAAAATTTCCTCCAGGATGCTGACTGAGTTGACACACACTCTGTGTTGATATCTGTTGGTTTTCTCTACAAAATACACATCCAGTCAGAACTGACTGGTGCCATGAGCTTTCTCTCTACCTCCTTCTCACAGCTACTTTGAACCACTGCCCTCCACATTCTTTAAAAATCTGCCTTTGCAAACTGCTGTGGATTTTTTTCTGTACTAACATTAGTGGATGTAAGGATGGAACAGACAGTGTTTTTCTTGTTTTTGTTGCTTTCATATAATCAGTTTTAAATTTTTAAATTTTTCGTTTCTCATAGACACATGCTTACTGGGTCATTTCATCCAGCCTCTGTCTTTAGATGCCACTGGGAGGCTAATGGCTCCCGTCTCTATCTGCATCCTAGATCCAGGTCCCATTAAAGGATGTTGTTACTAAAAGTCAAATAGTAACTCTCATACAAATATAAAAATGGTACCTGCAAATAGCTTTTATTTAATTCACTAACTGATGAGTGAACCAAAAAGATGTTAAAACTGGTTCAAGGAAAATTCCAAAAGCCGTACATAGGCACACACATGCACAAAGGGAATAAGGAATTCTGAAATACATAGAGGTATGTTTGCAAGACAACAGTCAGTGGCATTTCACCAGATTTACTGGCATTTCTACAGACAAGAATCATTTACATTATTACCAGTTTTCAACAATTTACAGAGTGGTCAAAAAGGCAGTGAAGGTGAAAGACCACTCTAATGGCAAAAACACACTGGACACCTGTGCCCCACCCTTCTTTCTTCAATACCAGGACATCTGCTCATCTTGTTCTTCCTATTTCAAAATGTTTCACAATTTCCTGACAGCCCCAAGGACCCAGTCTTTATATCCAACAGCACTGTATTATCAGTGTGTCCAAAATGACACAACAGCCTCACCCCCTTTGTACCTCCTCTATCATGGTCTGGAACCTCTGCTAGTCTCTGCCAGTGATCTTCAGCTTTTTTTTTTTTTTTTTTTTTTTTTTTTTTTTTTTTGCTTCAGTTACCCTTAAAATAATCTTGGAAAATAATGTACCAACAGACACATATTTTTAAGTTGTCCATTAAAGTTTTCTCCATAAGCTTAAAGAGTAATAAAGGTAAGTTTCTCAGCATATCCTACCCATTGACACATTAAAATAAGACTGTTATATCACCTTTAAAAGTATTAGCCAGAATAAAAAATACCTTTAAAATATATGAAAGACATCCTCTTCTTGTGTCACCTTCCTGTTTCCTGGCTCTACGTGTCTTTTCACGGTCCCAAAGTCTCCCCCTGTTCTGTCCAGGCTGAGGCCACCTTCCCAGCCAGGTTGGAAACTGGGAGCTCCGTAGCCTTCAGATGGCTGTGGGACTCAGAAATGTTTCCAGGAGCAGAGAGCATACCTTGGATTGGCAGAGCTGCCTGCCAAGCCATCATGCCTAGGAAACAGGCTAAAAAGGTGACACAGCAAGAGCGATGGAGGAGCCACACAGGAGATAGGCAGGGTTGTCTGCTAAACCTGCCCTTCCAAAAATGGAACCCAGGCCTAAAACAGCCCCCACCATCCGGCGAAGAAGGGAATGAGGTGCCTGAGGGGAGAAAGGCGGAGGAGGATGCTGGCAAGAATGGAAAAAACTGTGCACAAACGAAGATACCTGCACAGTGCAGTCACAGGGAGCAGAGGGCACTGGGAATGCCAAGTGAATTGTACATTTTCAGAGCTCACAGACTCTACTGTTTGAAATATAATTTTTAAAGTTAAAAAAGATGAAGAATTTTGCTTTTTAAGTTGTTTTCAATTATATGTATGAGCAAGCATTTCAGTTAAATGTTTTGCATTTTTACTTCTTCAATCAGTATTACCTTTCTACATCCTTACAGAATTTTATCATAATGTAATGGACTTGTATGCTTAAAGTATTGATCATTTTATTACACTTTTCTATAATTAAAATATGTGGATAAATTTAAGATCTTAAAACATTTCCAGTGAACGTAAGTTCTCAGCTTTGAAAATTATGTTAGATTGTTGTTAGTGTGATTGTAAGATTGAAATAGCAAAAGTGAATTCCAAATTTTGACAACCAATAACATAAAAAGTAAAACTGTATTAGAAATGCATCTCTGAATCAGATTGATGGGTTCCTTTTTCCCAGTGAGTTCATGAATCTGGGAATGCATGTTCCTTTTTGCTAAAATAGGACAAAGTGCAGCTCCGAGTCTGTTGCTGTTTCTCTTTGTCAGTGATGTAAGCACTGAAAATTCCTTTTTTACATTTTTAAAAATGGAAGCATTATTGCAGAAATTAATTTAGTACTTGTATATATTCTGAGTTATATGCCAAAATGTTAGTGAATAGTCCTTTTTATTTATCTACCACTGAAAAACTTGAATACGCCCTATAACTTGATTGACAGCAGAGAACATCTTCTACTGCAAAAGGCTATTTTTCCCGGGCATTAAAGTCAGTTACTGTTTTGACAGTGAACTTTCAATATTGTGAATGACCACTTTATTTGGCAGCCATTTATTTGGGTGAGAAGGAGACTTTCTTTTCTGATTTGCAGGAAGAGTTTTTATAAAGGTGAATGTGGGAAAGACAAATTTCATGATCCCAGGTGATCTCTCAGGTAGAACAATATTTAAATTGAATGTCTGGAAACTGCCTGTTTCCAGGTGAATTCCTGAGAAAGCTTCAAGTAACCCAGCTGCACTCAGGCCTCATTTTAAAGATGATTGATTGATCTAAACACCATTTACTCATTTGCCTAAGCCGGATTAAGAATCCTTTCTCCATAACTTCTTAATTTTCCTCCTTAATATCTTTGCAATGTGTTCACTCCATGTATGCATATATTGTTTCAGATACACCTTGTTGCACAAGTAGATTACTATGACTCCTAAAACCTTTTCGTTTTCATTTTCTTTTTTTTTTTTTTTAAAGACAGTGTCTCACTCTGTCACCAAGGCTGAGCAGTGGCAGAATCACAGCTCACTACAGCCTCTACTCTCTTCCAGGCTCAAGCAATCCTTCCACCTCAGCTTCCTGAGTAGCTGAGACTACTGGCACATGCCACCATGCCTGAATAACTTAAATCTTTTCTTCTTCTTCTTATTTTTTTTGTAGAGATCAGGTCTCACTATGTTGCCAGGCTGGACTCAAATTCTTGGGCTCAAGCGATCCTACCGCCTTGTCCTCCAAAAGTGCTAGGATTTCAGGAGTGTTTCAAAAGTGCTGGGATTTTATTTTTTAATCAACCATTGACATTGCTGCCTCAATACTATTCTTAAAATAGAAATTTTATTCATGACACTTTCCTGTCCAAAATCCTTTGGGGAGGCTCCCTCGTGGATTTCAGGGGAAATTACAGAATCCTCAGCAGTATACCTAAAGCCCTTTATAATTTAATCCCTTGCTTACCTCCCAAATTCATGTCTTTCCTCTGCCGCTATTGCCAGCCTTTTCCTACTCTCCACATACAAACAGCCAGGAGTCCTGTGTACTAGTCACACCCAAAAATTTGCAGCCTGTTAATTCTTGTATTCCTGGAACTTCTCAGAGGCTCTTTCTCTGCGTGGAGCGCTCTTCCTAAAACTTGTAGTGTGGCTTCCTCCACTTTAGGAGTGAGCTTTGATCTCACTTTTTCCAATAAGCATTTCTTGACCATACTAACATAGGACTATGTGCCCTTTTTCTATACTTCTCAGAGAAACAGCAGCCCTTGGCTAGCACTACCTGTATGCACTCATGTAGCAATCTGTACATATGATTTTCACGTGCTGCTTTAATACCTTAGTATTAACCAGCCTTTCCTTTTTAGACTGTAAACTCTTGAAGCTAGGCCGTGTCTTACTCCCCTCATATCTCTGATCTCAAGCACAAATTCGGCACATAGTAGGTGCTCATCAAATGTTTGCTGAATGACTGATTCACTTCGCCAACCACGAATACTACAGAAATGTAGGTTTGTCCAATAATCTCCACTTTTGGTGTAAATTAACTATGCCTCATGAATGAAAATACAAGGCCCTCTCCTCCTCCTTAAAACTACCTATTGCTACTGTTTCCCCTCAATGCCACTCCACTTGGTCCCTATATGCCTCTGATATGCAGGCTCTAGTAAGTTCCCACACTATTGGGCCTGCTCTTCATCCAATGAATATGGCTGGCAAGTATCTAAACCACATTTTTTCCTCACTAATTTTCAGGGTTATTTAAAAATGTCTTTGAAAGCTTTTTATTTTTGTGTTCAGTTTTAATTGTTTTTCTACTTGATATCATGGAATATAGTAAAGGGCAGATTTTTTTAAAGGAATAGCTGAATAGAACATTGTCCTTACTTATGTTTTCGAAGAAATAGCAAAGTGTCCAACCAACTCTAACCAAAGTGTTATGATTCACGTACAAAACTCTGTGGACTTGTAGAACAGACAGCTTACTGCAATAGTATAACAGGCATGAAATCTGTAGTGAGTAATATTTGGGAAAATAACTACAAATCAAATCTGTTAGTTTCTGATTGATAGCTAAAAAAAAGGACGTTATATTCTGTTTCTTATCCTCAACTACTATTGTTTTATGTTAAATAAAACATATATCTTCATCCTGTTATGAGGAAAAATACATGAAAATTAAGAGTTGAAGATGCACACAAAAAAATCATACAGCTGCAAATCAGTGAAAACTAGTGTTCTAATTATTGACTGACTAAAGACAGGCATTGAATCATATTATTCTGTTTATTCCCTCGATAGAACAGAAGTTTCATGAGGGCAGAGTCTTTATTGTGTTGACTGTTATATCCCCAATATTTACAAAAGTGCTAGGATACAAAATAATCAGGAATATATATCTTTTTGAATGAATGTGTAAATAAATACCATGGACAGTGCTAGCAAAGAGCTGCTACTTTTTCAATTCAAATGAATTTGGAATTTTTTTTTAATAGATGGAAATACGGATGAGTACTTTGCTATAAACAAGATGTCAGGAGAACTCTCAACCACTCGTGCTTTGGACCGGGAGCAAGTCAGCAATTTCACCCTTGCCATCCTGTGCTCTGATCTGGGAGAGCCGCCTAGGAGCTCTGTAATACATCTGCAAGTTAGAGTTTTGGATGCCAATGACCACAGCCCTTCTTTTCCCACACCTTATTATCAGTCCTCTGTGAGAGAAGATGCTGAAGTAGGAACAGTGGTTCTTATGCTTTCAGCTGTGGACAAGGATGAAGGCCTGAATGGGCAAACTGAGTATCTTTTGACTGATGAAGCTTCTGGTGCATTCACCATGGATCCTACGTCAGGCACATTGAGAACCAGCAACACCCTTGACCGTGAAGCTAGATCTCAGCATACATTTAGTGCTGTGGCCAGAGACTGTAGCATCGAGGGCTCACGGAGCACCACCGTAATTATAAAAGTATATATCACTGATGTTAATGACAATGACCCAGTTTTGGAACAGAATCCTTTCGATGTTGTTCTTTCCCCCCAGTCGCCTACAAACCAGATAACTTTCATTCTGAAAGCCAATGACCCAGACTTGGGGCCCAATGGAACTGTGGTTTTTAGTTTTGCAGAGACCCAGTCAATGTTTTCTATTGATAAACATACAGGAGAAATTCAACTTCAGCAAAGTCCATCTTCAGAATATTTCCCTTTCTGGCTGCAGTTAAAAGTTATGGACCAGGGTGTTCCAGCTAGGACAACCACAGGTCTCTTGGTCATTCACATGGAAGGAGAAGACATAAAGATTTCCTTCAGCCAACACCTGTATAAAGGGCTTGTGACTGAAAATTGCGAGGCAGGTGGGTGTCTATTTGAGTTCTTCATATGTTGTACCTGTTTTGACAAAATGCTTAAGAGTATGGATTATATTACGAGAGTGCCATTGTGCATTCAATTTTAAATGTTTTACTCCAATGCTTATTATTGGTATTGGAATAAACATGTTAAGAGAAGCCTGGTCTGAGATGAAACATCAGGGCAGAAGACAGTGAGGACCAAATTCCTTCTGACCTCTGAAGGAAGGCTCTCCCATTACAGATTCAGTTAGAAAAGCTAAGAATAAATGAATGGGGAGCCTTCAATCTGCCGTTCTTATTGTGTTTTCTTGGACCCTGGTTAGAATTGTTCTTAGGTCCCTTAGGTTTGGAATCACTTAATTAAATTTAGCTTTTATCTTTTAATAGAATTTACTCTAAAAATTTCTTTTTTAAATCTTACACATAAAAAAAGCTAGAAATACTTCTGGAAATAACATAAGGATGTGGTATCCATAAATATCCAGGTGGGTGTACATGTTAGGACATCTGAAGCAATAGGTTGGGACCTTTATTTGAAGAGCAAATATGACATGTATGAAGGGCATAAGTCTAAGTTGAGAGGTAAACTAAAAGTTGCAGGTGTAATGGGTAACAAAAGGGCAAAAGGAAAGGATAGCAGTTAAGGAGGCTGTTGAAGCTGACTAGATGCAATTAATCTATACCTGGGTTGGTAGGGTTTCTTGGGCCCCTGTGAAAAATAATGACAACGTCATAAAATACTGATTGACATTTCAAGCTGGATGATGCTTGCTTGGAACATGAACTCATTACAACCTGCTAGATTATATTTTAGACACCAGAAGATGATTTTTCCTTGTTTGTTGGTTTTTTGCTTTCAAATTTCCAAATTCTAGTGGTTTTAAAAGATTGTAAATCCATATGTCAGTGTTAGAATAGCCTTAATATAAATTATTTAATAGTGTTTTATAGCTGACAGCATCACTTTCTCCCCAAATACACCTGCAATCTTAACCTTTATTTTCAAATGAAAAATAGATGCCTTTTGGAAGTTTAAGTTTTCTGTGGGCCATTCACACATTTGATCTATCAGTAGGCACCACTTGGCATCCTGAGTGAATTGAGTGATTTATTTTTGGTATCATCATAAATTTTCATCGCTCCAAACTGCTTTTAACATTTTCCTGTTCTTTTAAGAAAACAAAAAATTAAAAGTTAAAACAAATAACTCCAATGTATTTTTATTTGTTTAACATTTCTTTGCTAGAAAGCCTACAGGCTCAGCTTTTGATTAACATTGCATTCATCTATTAGCAATATTAAACTCAACACTTCAGTTGTTTAAAATAATGTATAGCTTCAGCCCTTTGGTTGGTAAAATTTCTTTAAGAGTCAGTCATGAAATGTTCACTTAATTATGGGAAGAGGCACTCTGTGAATTTCTGGTAAGACACAGGCTAGCCCCACAGCAGTGTGACAAGAGAAGTTAACGTCCAAATGACTCCCCACTCTTTAATGTGAATGCCACCCCTCCTGACTACCTGCTCCCCCTGCATTTCCAAGAGATAAGAGAGAACATAACCATTCTGAATCTCTTTAAAAGTTAAGGATAAACTTCTTGATTGCCCATGATGTTTAACTCCACTAAACAGTGTAAATGAATCCCCTAGAAACCAGCTTTTATTTCTTCAATTTCATTTCCAGTGCTTTGGTTGTCACAATAAGAATGAATCAGCAACCATAGTCCATGATGTGGACTATTCACAACTTCATGCATTTCATTGACTTTCCAGGAGGGGAAAAATGGAAATTAAGAATGATATTGATACCCTGATTAAAAGTAAATACTCAGACCTTGAAAATGAAATAAAATTAAAACATGATGACACATGAGAGCACTCTCACTAGTAAAATATATTTAATATGGTACAATACATAAAATAGATCTTGATATTTTGGAGGAAAAAACCCTCCTTCCAGCCCTTTGGCAGTTGATCTGGTGAATTCAGGCTCCACTCTGGATAAGGCTGGGCGCATGTGTGTTAGAGTGGGAAACTCCTGACACCAGTTAGTGTAGCTAGGTGTGTCGGCCTCTGTGATGGCTCTACTCGGCATATGCTCTTTGATGACTTCCTCAGAGGGATACTGTTAAGATTAAACTAAGTTTTAAGAGGATACTAGTCATTGCTTTGGTTGTAATTTTTGTTATCCTCCTGTCTGTCCCAAATCCATGAATTTTATAAAGTTAGCTGGGTATAAATTCTCACCAGAGTAACCAGTTTTTACATAGCAATTATATTACAGCAATGAATTACTTACATTTGTTAGAGGCTACGATATGTCTTATTTTGTCTTCAAACCAGATAAGAATGATGCTTTCCAAAGTGATGGATTTCTCCATAAATACAGTGTTATTCTCAGCTTTGGAATGTATGAATGTTCCCACATATGAATTCCTATGATAATGAAAGAGGGAGGCACCTGTTACCTGTCATTTCTATTTTGTTATTTAGGGACAGTCTCATATTTTGGTATAAATTCATTGTAATAGGAATTATCTAACTAACCATATACAATGGTACGGAATTTAACCACTTTACTTATGACTCCAAGATAGCTCTGGAGGAGAAAGATAGAGAAACGTCTTATTCTCAGAAGAAGGTACATACTTCACAAAGCAGTTTTTAATCTTTGTGAATTCACCCAAGTCCCACATCTGGCCCTCAGCCATACACACATAAAATCTCATTTGATTAACTCACCAAGGAGTTCCTTTCTTCAGGAGAGGGAACTTATTCACCAATATGAAGGGGACTGATATATACACCATGACAGTTTTGCTATTTATTTGGTGAGCTGTATTGTTATGTGAATTACAGTAGTCATATCAGAATGACCAGTTCTCTCCTTCTAGGCATAAAAGACACAAGAAGCCAAGTTGTAATCAGAAAGTTGCTTGCTAATTCTCAACAATTAGGAGGAGGATGTCATTCAAGTGTTGAGTGTCATCAGCCTACATTACTCTTTCCTCAGGCAGAATTTACACAGCTCTGCCACGGTGGATTTTATGATGCCTTCATTGACTGTGGGCTTCCATTACTCACCAGTTTCCTTTTGATTTACACATTCCTTGCTGGTGTCTTAACACCTCTGTCAAAATTTTGGCCCTGGAAGCCACTTACAATTATTTATGGTGATTTTGCATAACTCTGTTCTGAACTGTTGTGCTTTGCTTGTAAATGTAAAAGCGTTAATATTTGGGAACTATATTAATACTTCTTTCTCTTGGCTATCTGTGGATAAGCTTCCGCCTATTCTACAAAACACATCCATTTGCTGTGGATAGCATTAGGATTGTTACAGCAGGAGTACAAAGAGAGGATATTCTCCCTTTGATAAACAAAATGCAGAGTGGGGCTCATAAAAATATTAGATCAAGCATCAACAAATCAACTAATTATGTGTGCATGTCAGCTCTACTGTTTAAAACTATAACTTTGCTTCATATGTCTTTAACTCTTGAAGGACACTCAACAATATTCCTGAAGATACCCTGCATAGTTTTTCTCCATCTCCAACAGACTTCCTATTAAATGTTGACCATATGCTTGATATGTTATACACTATATTCAATTTTAAGGGGCCTTGAACATCTATTCATTTAGTCTCTTACTAGGTGGCTTTGATGATTAAATGAGCACTTTGTAATATCTAAAGCATTTCACCATCATGACTACCAACAGTTACAGGTCTAAGATATGAAGATGAAAGTGCAGCCAAACACTGTGGATAGCAGAGCCAGAGGATGTTTGCTCCTAGTGGGTATTCCCCAAGTGTTTATTGGTATCATTTTACCATTTAACCATTACTTCTAAGATAACGAAAGACATATACATGCGCAAGTGAAAAAAAAAAAAAAAGCATAGGGTAAGAGGGAAGGGTGGAAGAGAAAGTTGTGCCAGGCAGTGGAAATGTCATGCACACAGCTTGGGGCCTCCAGAGGGTGTGGTGAGTTGTCCCTGCGACCAAGCGTCTCATCTGGAATAGCTGGAGAGCAGCATGCACAGAGGCTTATGTGCTTTCCAGCCATAACTTGGAAGAGAGAGACATCGATGGCTTTTAAATTATCAAAATCAACCTTGACATGGTAGAAAGCTCACTTTGGAAGCTGTGTGGAGGGTAGCCTGGGGGAGAGAGATGAGTTAGGAGGATACTGTGGTGATCTGTGTGATAAAGACCGAGGCCTGAATAAAGCCACAGCAGTGAGGGATGACAAGAGGGAATGTGCTTCTCAAGTGTTTCCAGGATAGCCTCAATGAGGCCTGGGGGTTATTTATATCTAAGGCTGCCAACCAAGATTACATGAGATCCCAGGGGAGCTTTAAAAAATTACTAATACACAGACATCTACCCCTTTCCCGCATCCAGTTAAATGGTAATCGTTCATTGAAGGTAGACCACACATCGTTTATTTGTAGAAGCTCCCATGCTACTCCAACGTGCAGCCAACAGTGAAGGAAGAGTGAGGGCTGAGAAGAAAATCTAAAGTAACATCCATAAATTTTATAGGAGTTGATGAAATAATGAATCTGAAAAGGAGATTGAGATGGAGGACTGGGGTGGTAGTGACAATTCTCTGGAGGATGGTGGTAGAGAAATAAGAAAGTGGCACATTTAAGAAAAAGGGGGTGGTCGACCATGTTTAATATGGAGCAGGGGTTAGGTAAGATAGAGACTGAAAAATTACTGCAATTTATTTAGGAGCCTGTCCCCAAAGCAGAATTAAATGAGGTAGTGGAGTGCCACCTGCTGGGAGTGGGGCTACAGCTCACTGAGTCCCTGGCTTGGTTGAGTTGGAAAGAGCATTACCTGAGATGGTCTGGGACTGCCATCTTGGTATCAGGAGTTGTGAACTTGGGAGAAAGGAAAGAATGTCTGAAATAGCAAGTCCATGTGTTAAATATAGAGGATAAGGCAACAGGGGAATGGCATTAAAAGCAAAATAAGGTGCTTGGCGAGTACAG